TCTGGGTACTCGAGATTAAGAGGGCAGCTGATCAGTAAGACTGGGGGATCTCCCTCCCAGACATAAAAAAATACAGTCACAAACATCAATACCCAGGTACATGGACCCTGTCGAAGGTGGTGGGTAAGTGGAGGGGTACGGGGGATGTATGCAATTTATTCTTCTCACAGCTACTGACATCCCCCCAAACAAAGGGAGGTGGTGGCGGGATATTCTTGCTGGCATTATGTAACCTGGGAAGAGTTGTTAAGACTGATTCTAGGCCGATCCTTCACAAATTCTTTTCCTTTGATTCATTAGAATCACATAAGAATTTACAAAGAAACAGAATTTCTGGAGGATGAGGCCCAGAAATCAGGATTTTAAAAAGATTCCCAGGTGATTCTAATGTCCAGCCACGGTTGAGAATCACTGGATTAGTTCCTTGACATGCAGGGCCCCGGTTTTTTAATGCCTCCGGCTTTTCAAAGTACTTAAGATCCATTACCTCGTTAGAAGGCACCAATGCCACACACAGCAATCTACATTGGGTTTTGGAAAAAGATTTTCATGTACATATTTTGTCCAAATATTACTATTTGCCTCAGGAAAGTCAGAGCGAAGACTTTAGCAGAGTGTAAATTTTAAGCCAATGAATAAACAGTTGGCTTGAAAAACTATTAAACGGCCATGAAAAGCATTTACTGCTCTGCCAGATACTAAAAATAAAAGCGGCTTCGGCGGACACGGAGAGCTTGACTGTTCCAGTTGGTTCTGAGCTGGACCACTAGGCTTCACGCAGTTATTTTTCCAAAATGGAGTCCAACAAACATCACGTGGTTTCCCTAAACTTACTTCTCAAAGAGACACACAATTGAAATCTTATTTCAATATCAACCTCAGTTATTGAAATATTTGAAAGATAACATTCGAGACAAAAGGTATCAGAGAAACCAGTAAGATCTGAAACGGGAGGTTCCACGCTGTGGCTCCAAGTTCAGATAACATTTTATTCCTGTCCTTGGCCTGCCCCTCCCTGAGCTCTTAAAAAAAAAAAAAAAGTGTTTAAAATATGGAGTCTGCGATTTATGATCAGTTGCAGAAACCTGTTTAACTGCTGATTTATAGTCCTGGCCATGGCATTTAGCTCTGTCATCAGAACTAATTATAGCAAACCTGAGATTACACATTCAACTCTCCTGCTGGTGAAAGAAGGGACTGTTCTGCTGAACATCCCGAGGGCTCCCACACAGGAACGCGCTCCCAACTACACCCTCGGAACCAGCGCTGCAAAGCTCAAAATTACTGCTCTTCAGCGAGTTGTTTTAGCCTGAAGTACTTAATAAATCAGCTACGTTACTGCCATCCTGACGGCCTGAAACGTACTCATCCCCGTTAACGACTGACAGTTACGTTGCTAACCGGACTCGGGCGTTCCAGGGGTAGTAAAGGCACGTGTCCGAGCCCAGGAACTGGTATCACCGATCCAGAAAGAACCCTTGTTTTGCTGTGACCAGATGAAGAGGACAACATGGGTTCGTTTTAGGCAACATGGGTTCTCGAAGAACTATGTTCCCATTTCATCGCTTTAATGAGTAAAATGTCTAATTCAAACTAAGGTGATAAAGTAAATCGGGATCCAAATGACGTGCCAGCAGGGCGAACCCAAGACAACAGTCCCTTCCTTTCCCTTAAGCCCTTCCCTCCCACCCCCACCCCCTTCAGCTGTACCATGATTTGAGCTTTTCAAGACCCAGGTCCCCAGAGAGTGGGCATTTATGAACTACGGCTCCATCACTGTATCCGATGTTGCCATAAGGCCTCCAATCCAATGCAGATGCCCCCCCCCCCCGCCCCCACGTTAGACAGTGGGGCGGAGTGGCAAGCACTGGCACTGGGCCAGGCTGAGGACAGGCTCCCAATCAGAAGACCCCAAGGAGGCCACCTGGCAAGGCCTCCACAGGGGCAGAAGGTGAGACTCGCTGCAGGAAGTGGGTACGGGAAAAGAACCATGAGGCAGAGGCGCGGGACAGGCCCGTCTCGGAGCCCTGGGTGTGAGAAGTCTATACCAGCCCTGCTCAAGAGCACTTTCAACGTTTCAGGCAAAACCACTGGATTGTGTGGCCGATTTTTTTTTAAAGGCAAGGTTCCTATGCTATAAGCTTATATTCACCTATTAGGATTTTAAAATGAGATGTTATAGGTAAGCAGTAATATGACTGTATCTACAAAGTGCAACGGGATATTAAATCACAAAATATAAGAGTTTCCAATATTTGGTCTTGGACAACCTTTCATGATCAATTCTATAAATAAACAATCTCCTAAAATCCTGCTTTCTTAATACAGGCTTTTCTCACCTAAGTGGAAGCAAGATATGATTTTGTTCTCTTAAATTGCAACTTACTTACTCCAGAATATAGGTAAAACATTGAATGACACCAATAAATTAGTGAAATTTTGTTACTACTGTAAATCTGAAAATAACAAGTTAATAATAATGTTCCTAAATTTATACCATCAAACCAGAGGAAGTGTGCAGCTCTGTATCTCTACCGAGCCCCGAGGAGGGAGGCGCCACAATACCAGAGGCCTGCCAGACTCCAAACCTCCAGCTGTGGTCGTGTCAACAGCTGGTCATACAGTTTCTCAAAGGCCCTGCTAATGAGGACTCTGACACACACATAATAAAGTCTACTTCCCATGCACCAATCCTCTTTCAGCTCATTAATGCACCCACATTTTAAGGAAAACTAGGGGAGAGGAGTAAGAACAATCCAACCACGTTCTTAGAAGGTTCCAAGTTATATTGTCTTGAGTTATAACATTCTAATGTAATTATACCATTTTCGCTTCTAGGAATCATCTCGTAATGTAAGGAATGACATGGCTGGGCTGAGATATTTAGGAAGACATTTCCAGCAAGAGCTGAATTTCAATCATTCTCCAAACACCACATGCTGTCTTTGTTTTATTGAGATATTTTATCTGAAGGCACTAAAACCAACCAATTGCTTTTATTATGTTCCTGTCAAGTATCAACTCCACTGCACCCAATAAAGAACCAATCATTACTCTTAAAACATTAAGATGAAGTCATTTGTAAAGACTATCAATGGAGACTTTCTTACACTTATGATGAATCCATTATAAAGATGCCAATCTTGAAAACACAATTCCAGAATGAGTACAGTTCCACTGAGGACAGATAACAAAGTACCAGGAGCTTAACGGCTATGCTATACCAAACGGATGAAAGTGAAATCGATTACACTGCAGGTCTCTATAAAGAAATAAATAAAGCCGAGCTTTCCCCTGTAGTGGACTCAGACTCCTGTACCAACAGAACACTCCGCTCCGTTCACCTCAATGGGCTGAACTCTTCAGAAAAGGACTGATGATCACCCTCCAAGTGTTATGCTTATTTTTTCTTTCTTCTTCTATCCATTTCCTGACATCTTTAACAGAAGCAGGGATAGCTTCAGTCTTCTGAGCAATTGAAGACTTAGGAAAAGACACACTGTCCTGAAGAACTCTGGCAAGGCAAGTTACATGTAGCCCATGTTGCTTTTGGTTTCCCATCTCTTCTTTGCTTCAAATCTAAAATGAAGAACATAAACATCTCAATTTATTTCTAAAATATGTCACTAAAGTAACATGTTCACTAAGTGCCAAAGTAAAATAAACTTAAATGTTCACATACTCCACTGATTACAAAACACACATCAAACAGGATGAAGAAATGCCTCATCATTTACAATCCGACACACAGCAGCACGCATACAAAGAAGACAGTGAGTAGCAATTACACACACGCCGGACCCATAAAGCGTGTCACAGGATGTGTCCATTTCTAGGAAGCTGGTGGCGTCACCACTAAAAGCCGTAAACTTACCCCCACGCAAGTTTCTTCTTTTTTCGAGCAGCCTGTGAATTTTCAGCTTCCTTTTTGGCTTTTACAAATTTATGGCAGGCAATTGCTTTGGCAATTTTTACACCAAGCTAAGAATTAGAAAGAAGAAAAAGAAAATGAAAAGTGAAAATAAATATTCCAGCTAATACAAGACTACAAACACTTGAGAACTTGAGGGTAAGAAAGCTGTGCCCAGAAATGAGAAATCCATGTGCTCCGGACGCCTTGAGCAACCAACTATAGGGCTACACTGATGTGGCCCATTGCCTCCCAGAGAACCCTCACTGGGCCCGTCTCCTGGGTGGAAATGCTTCCCAAACTGAGGCCCCTCGAGGGCCCACAAAGGTTGTGGTGAAGATCTGCAGCGATCTCAGCAAACAGGAGGCCAAACAGTTTACCCGATGCGACTGCACAGACTGACAGACACCGCGTGTCTTCGCTATGGGCCAGAATTACAGCCACTCAGCATGGTCACACCAGTTATCTCATGCTGACCAGAAGCTCTGACTGGCAGTCAGAGATGTCATTAATAAAACCTGAGAAAGCGAATGACCCACTTGTATGAGGGGCAACAGCTTTTAATGCACTGACAGGTGAGAAGGCTGAGCACCAGGACCGCAGGACCGAAGTCTTCCCTCCGCTGGTCCCTCAGTTCATAGTCCTCCTCACACCCATCTGCCAGACTATAAGGTCCAATCAAAATGAGACCTCCTGCATGGCTGGCATGGCTGTTGTTGAGCCTCGACCTATGAACCAGAAGGTTACTGTTCGATTCCTGGTCAGGGCACATGCCTGGGTTGTGGGCTCAATTCCCAGTAGGGGCCTGTAGGAGGCAGTCAATCAACAATTCTCTCTCACCTTTGAAGTTTCTCTCTCTCTCTCTCCCCCTCTCCCTTCCTCTCTGAAATCAATTAAAAAATATATATTTTTAAATAATGAAACCTCCTCCTCTCCCACGCTGTCTTCTCTAACTCAGCCACCAGTCTTTGTTGCTGCCGCTCCAGCTCTTAGCGACTACAGCCACCACACTGCTTTCCCAGCTCTGCTGCAGGGCCGCCCTCAGGGGTGTCTCCAGGACAAGCGTGGGATCTAGTCTGAGCTAACAGTGCCTGTCTATGTGGACGTAAGAGTCCAGACTAAACAACCAAGGCGAAAACTCTGGTGTTTCTTACCTTTCCTATCCCTGTACTCAACGACCTATGCCTATTGTGGACAGCAGACTTAACATGTTAAGCCCCCAAGTCCGTCACTGGTGACTGACACTATACGTTCCGTCCAGAAGACAAAACAGGCTGGGCGCTTAACGTGTTAAGCAAGAGTAGAAAGGACTGGCCGCCACTGAACGTCAACTATTGAAGCCCAAGTGTTAGGAATCTGTTTGCCAATAATGAGACTCAGTAGGTGGTTAAGAGCGCATGTATAAGGAGAGGCCGGTTGAGCACTGAGGTCTGGCATGCCTGACATTTCTTCCAGTTGATCCTGGAGAAGTTTCTTTGGGTGAAACGAAGGAGTAGGAATCAAGCCTGCCTGGGGTTCCTAAAACAGAGCAAAACTAGATCTGATTTTTCAGTGGAGGAAAGTCTATAGCAGTGATGGCGAACCTATGACACGTGTATCAGAGGTGACACGCGAACTCATTTTTTTGGTTGATTTTTCTTTGTTAAATGGCATTTAAATATATAAAATAAATATCAAAAAATATAAATCTTTGTTTTACTATGGTTGCAAATATCAAAAAATTTCTATATGTGACACGGCACCAGAGTTAAGTTAGGGTTTTTCAAAATGCTGACACACTGAGCTCATAAGGTTCGCCATCACTGGTGTATAGAAAGAATGAAAACAAACAGAAGCAACCTGACAGGTGTGGAAGTGGTCCCACCAATAGGAAGGTCATGAAGAAAAGAAGATCGAGTGTGACTTGAGAGCCCGCGGGAGAAGGCAGACCAGTTTCTTCTCAAAATTCAAACCAACATTAGCGGCGCCAAGACTGCCGCCATCCCCTTTCTCACGAGGATGACATGCATTTGACAATTATAAGGGCACAAATGCATCATTCTGCCAGGCACTGCTCTAGGCACAAGAGCTACAGCCCTGGACAAAAGGACACATTTTCAAACTGTGGGCCTGGGAGAGGGGTTGCCAGGAGCACTGCTTCAAGACAGGGCCTGTTCTCTTGATTCTCTTTTCACTTCCAGTTCTTTATCGCAGAAAAGTTCACCTAAGTCAACTAAAGAAGGCTAGGAATCAAAGGGCTGTCGCACATCCCCAAAGAGGAAATGAAACTCTGAAGGATGCTGTGGGAGGATCTATCAGGATTTCCTATCCATGAAAAACTACCCGTTTACCATAGTGAAAAAGCAGGCTAGCACCTGTCAGGTCAGGCTAGTCAATGCTGCAGTATCAAAGGAATCCCCATCTCACTGGCTGAACTTTTCTTTCTCGTTTCACTTAAAAGTCAGCAGACGGGCAGGGCTCTCCTCCATCTTGTGGTGCCAGCGTCTCAGCATGTGGCTTCCGAGCCGAGTTCACCGTGGCAGAGGAAGAGCCGGCCAGAGGGTCTCACCCTGGCTCCCAAAAGCTTAAGTCCAGAAGTGACACACGTCATTTCTGCTCCAGTCTTCTGGTCAGAGCTGCTCATACGGTCCCACCTAAATGCCAGGCGGCCGGGAGTGCAGGAGAGCAGTAAGTGCACTTGGTAACAGCCTGCCGTCATAAACGCAGCTCGCCCCGTGACTGAGATGTACTCTGGGCCTCTCTACATTCACCTTGAGTGTTCAGTCTCTTCCCTGTCCCCACTTCCAAAGGGTAAAACACAGGACCCTGTATTTTTCTACTTAACTATATTCCTATGCATTATCTATCAAATGTAAATTTTGCCAAGTAAACTCCCCAACGGAAGTACCACTCAGCTAGTTTATCTTGTATTTAAATTGAGCTTATACGTTTTGAGTATGAAATAAAAATGACCCAAAACGTATTTGCCATGTACCATTAACCATGTGACCAAGTTATTTTCTAAAACTGTTATAATAATGTTGTGTACCTTCATGTGCTTAAAATAAATGCTCCCCTTATTCTTGTGGAGACTATGAAGAGTGGGAATATGTGGACGGGAGGAAGAATAACAAGATCTTCGGTGGAAGAGAGTCGAGAGGAAGCTCATTTCCCAGGCAAGTTGACTAACCCGAGCTCCAGAAGATAAAGGAATATCGTGCTATGTTTCAGTATTACAAACAAATAACACAGGCCAACAGGAATCCCCCTTCCCGTCTGTAAAAAGGAAAATGCATCTTCATACCCAAGTAAACATCACAAAAGCTTGGTCAATAGTTTTTATATTAAAAAACGGTTTCGGGTCATCAGATAACCATAGCAACACAATGTGGGAAGAAAAAAATGTTTAATGAATAAAAATCCATACAGAATTTCTTGTATGTGTAGCCAAAGTATCAGCATTTTCCATATAGAACATCCAATATTTTGCTGCATTTTAATTAAGGTGTCTAAACATTATCACAAAGAACTGCAAATTGGTCAGAGCAAGCGGTAAGGAAAATTAAGCTCTAAAGGCTTTTTATCACCATATTTCAGGAACCAAGGGTGTAAAATGTTCTAATTTGGGATATATTAAAAGCCATAAAAGGTCTTTCAAAAAGATTAATGGTACTTTGCTTGGATTTAAGATAAGGGCTTTAGCTGGTTGGGAAAGCAGGGCCCTGGCTGGACCCTGGAGGCATTCATCTTTACAGCCACTTGGAAGATTTGTAAAAGCGTCTGCATAACCTCAAGCAAATGCTCCGCGACATTTTTTTAATTCCTTTCAATTTTACAGGTTTAGCATGTGTAAATCATACTGGGTTATAAAATAGATATAATGGCACATCTTGTAACATAGTCGAGATTTTTAAAAGACAAACTTTCACAATCAAGTTAAGTTTTTCTTGCTAAACCTTGCTATTCTAGAGTTTGCTGATAATTATTTGAAGCATCTGATTCAAACAGCTTAATCTAACCCAACTGTAAAAACTTCTTATCCATTCCATAAAATATTTTACTCATCTCAAAATTACTAGCCTGTAACAGATTTATAAAGTTTTCCTCCCTTTTGGATACTTTCAAGGCACTTATTTAAAAATACCAATTATCATACTTTACCTTTTTATGAAATAATAGGTCTCTATGAAAAATATTTATGCCATTCTCTTTTGTTCTTTAATTAAATGAAAACAGATGTTTTCTGAAGTAAAGCGGAACCATTACTGGAGTACTTAAAGTGTCAAGGTCTTTAATTTTTATATCAGTTTGGTCGACAATTCCTGATTGTCTTTACTCAAGCTCAACATTAATGTCAAGCAAGTTACCTAGGAGACGAAAGAGATCAAAGAGACAAAAACCCCTCCAATGTCTGATTAATCAAGTCTGCAAACAGCTTATTTCTTTTAGCCTGCATGCAAGTATGAAAATGAGATTCTGGGAGCCGAACACTGTGCAGATTTGTTCATTCTTATCAGAACAAAGCCAGCGGCAGCTTATTTCATGGATCATTGGCACTGTCATCAGCGCTACACAGAGCGGGTGACAGCTCCTCATTTTGAGGCTTGAACAAAATTAGCAAAAAGTCGGCACAAATTAGCCTCTCATCTTTTTGGTAATATGACATTATTCATTTACTTTTTATCCAATTTTTAATTTTTTCCTTGTCAGCTATCCCTTTCTAGTCTCTTCCATGGCATCCTAAAATGCCGCCTTATAAACAAGCAGAGAAACAGCCAAAGTTGAAATATCATGCAAAGTTCAAAAAGCAAATAAGGGGGGGAAAGCACTTCCAATGATTTATAACGCTTTGTTTTTTTATATAGCTTTCAAAACTTTGCACTAATATTGATAAACAGCTCAGAATGCCATGCAGTTAAAGAGTTTTAGAAAACTGGTAGTTTATTTCAATAAAGACGACGTGGCTAATTAAATACGGTGTGTGCGTTGGTAAATTCTGGATGTCTGTATCGGGATTGGTACCGTCCTCTCCAGGGTCATACCTGGGATGCTGGAGCTCTGGTAACAGCACACAGGCTACACCATAGCTAGT